GTTTCTCCAATTTAGAGACCAGGATGTCGTGTGGGACAGTGTCGAACACTTTACACAAATCCAGGTAGATGACATCAACTGCTTTACCGCTGTCCATCAGTTCTGTAGCCCCATCATAAAGGCCAGCAAATCGGTCAGGCAGGATTTCCCCTTAGTGAAGCCATGCTGGCTGTCACCAAGCACCTTGTTGTTTTTCATGTGCCTTAGCATGCCTTCCAGGAGAATCTGCTCCAAGATTTTGCCAGGCACAGAGGTGAGACTGACTGCTCTGTAATTCCCTGGGTCATCCATTTTCCCCTTCTTGAAAATGGGGGTTATATTTCCCTTTTTCTAGTCGTTGGGAACTTCACCTGACTGCCATGATTTTTCAAATATGATGGCCAGCGGCTTAGCAACTTCATTTGCCAGCTGTGAATCTGCTGTCTTTCCATGAACAGCAGGATGCTAATCCCTTTCCTAGTAAATATTCTTGTGGCTTGATCCTGCAGGGCAGTAAGCAATTCCTGCTCTTACCACCACCACCAGCCTTTCAAGTCTAGTAAGGGTTTAAGAATAAGCATTTACATTGGTGGACACATGTGATCGAATCTCATGTAAGAATATGCTTAGATGAACACACAATGCTAAGCAAGGTTCAGACTGAGATGCTGCTTTGCCCTTCTGCCTAGAAACCTGCAGGAGTGAAGCAGTGCAACTTGCAGAGCACCTTCCATATTCATGCTCAGGATTTATATGGTTTGCTTTCCTCTTCTTAAATCTCTCCTAGAAAGCTTTATTCCAAGATGATTAACAGATGTTGTCATTATAAAGTTGGTACTTGCCAACGAAGAACACATGGGTCTGCTTGAGAAACAGTGCTGTTTCCACAGCTTGCCCCAAGAAGAGATACTTGTGGTATCTGGGAAAGCCTGTGAGAATACGACATTTTAAAGTATCTTTTACCTACCGTAATTTCCTAAGAGAATCCTGGTTTCCTGAGAATTTGTTTATCTTGTTCGTATGAAATAATTTGGATAAACACATGAAACATAATAGAAAATTAAGCCCATTATGATAAGGAGGTATGCAGTGACTTTTTAGATAACAATGAATTTGTCAAGCAAAGACTTATTTGTAACAAAGGGAAACAAAAAAACCTCAGCAGCAAATAACAGCCATGTATTTTAATTGAAGATATAAAATAAATGATTAACTGATAAGCAGAAATGCTTCTCAAAGGCTAGAAGGTGACAAACAAAAGAATGGGAATTTACTATCCATTGTAAAATGAGCTGAAACACATGGCCAGCAATCCCCAACCCCCCAAAAAATTGGGGAAAAGGCTATCTGGCTGGAATATACAAGTACAGAATTATCTCTGTGTTTACCTACCAGGCACACACTGTAATCTAAAAGCAAGGAGACAGCAATTTGGAAAAGCCAACTGGGAAGATGGCAATGTACCCTGTCTGCGGAGATCCTTTAACAGTTATGAACAGAAATGTGCTGAAGATGTTTAGCTAGAGATTGATGAAACTCCCTGCAATTTAATGCTAGTGAAAACGTGATCTTTTTTCCTGGCAGGTGAAAAGGAATGAGCACTTAGTAGGTTTTCAGAAACTACTTAAAAGCAATCAAAGTCTTTTGCAATGCTCTCAACATGTAAATTGTAAATATAATTTTCACATAGTTTTCATATAAAGGACAGATGTAGTACATTTTTACTACATTCTAAATTCAGTATTTTAGTGTCTGACACTAAAATCCTTTCCCCTCTTTTCTCTTTTCCATGGATCTGTTGTTAAAAGCGTGATGGCTCTGCCAAAAAGTCTGTGTTTTGAAAGGCTTTCATTCCTCTTTTATTCCTTTTGTTCTACTGTATGATTCCATGCTACAACATGCACTGATGAGATCAGTGGCATTTAAGAGCTATCACTTGTGTCTCATCCCTACCTGCTGTAGTCAGTAAGAATATTCACACTGACTTTACTAAGCCTCAAATCAGGGTTTTACTTGGGATTTATGTGTAGCTTCAATTCATGTCTCAATTCTCTGTGGACTTCAAGAAAGCAAGGAATAGTAAACGTTGTCATGTTCCACTTCTCCGAAGCCATGGTTAGATGTGCTTGACAGGTTTTAAGTTTAGGAAATACGACAAAGTCAGAGGCTGCACAAGCCTTGGAAGCACATGCAGCAAGAGGAAATTCAATTAATCCAATGTTTGTTTATTTCTTTACCATACTATTAAAGCAAAGAAGCTCTATAATGAGATTACTGCATTTTATCTCCTAATTGTATCCAGATATGCAAACCAGATTTACTGCTCGTGGCTTGTATATACTGCAGTATTTTAAAGCTAATTATGAAACAGCATCACTATTGTCACATGATGAAAATACTCCTTCTTGCTGCTATGAATCAATAACATTTTCTAGAATTTATTGTAACTACCTTTTTAACTGGATATAAACCCTAGTGAATTCTGAAACAGCCAGTTATGTAAATATAACTCTTTTAAATCCAGGATGGTATCAGCATAAAATATTATAATTAATTAGACTGAAAAAAAAAATAATAAAAGAGACAATAAGGTAGTTGGAACAGGTTGCCCCAAGAAGTGGTAAATGCTCCATCCCCGGCAGTGTTCAAGCCCAGGCTGGACAGAGCCTTGGGTGACACGGTCTAGTGTGAGGCATCTCTGCTCATGGCAGGGGGATTGGAACTAGATGACCTTAAGGTCCTTTCCAACCCCAACCATCCTATGAATCTCTGATTCTGTTATTTTGTTATTAAAGCCAGCTGTATATCAAACCTTGGAAATACTCAAGTTTCTATTTAAACAGCTGAAATCTTCCATTGTCCACGCAAGCATGTGTACACATCCTCCAAACCCAGGGTATTAAAAGTTTAATTGTTCATTGAAGAGTAGTTAGCACCTGGCTTTTGTTTGTATTTCTCCACATAGAGAGGAAAGCAAATCCCCAGGGCCCAAAACATCTAGCAATCTTTTCATTGCTTATTTATATAACACAATAAACAATAAAGAAGTCAAGCAAATAGTTTTAAAATAACACTGCATTAAGGTTCTTCTGTTAAAAAACAATGGTAAGTGAATGGCAAAAATCTTGATCTGTTAGTTGTAATTCCATAATGATTCTTAAAAACACTGTCACTGTGTGATCATACCTCATGTATTGTGATCACACAGCTTGTCAATGCAGATTACATTTCAGGTATTTATAACCTAATCTAACACTTTGCACATATTTCAAAGTATACGCTGAAGCTTGGTTTCGCTGAATTTGTTACATTTGTGAATATAAGTCTTGAGTCCAAACTATCCACAGCATGTTTTCAAGTCTCACTTGTATATGGGATTCTTTTTCCCACTCTCCACTTAGTGGCCGAAGGACAAGGAAGAGGCACTTGTTTATCTCAGTAGACTAAAGCAGCAGATTTAAACTTACCTGAGTTCCAGCTATCTTAAAGAATTATTTTCCCACACTATTATACCTGAATTTCATGTAATGGCACCAAATTGCATCCAAACCACATTATATTTACACACACTATGGTAATTAAAGCAGTTACATTTTGATGAGCTGAAATTAATGAGAACTTCTAGATATGATACACCAATAATAAAAAGTATTTAGAAACATCTTACTTCCTACTGAGTTACTGTAATAAGAACTTACCCACATTTTATATTGCCAGTATGTTGGTGGAAGTTAATTCTGATGCTGACTGTACATTTGATGACATATTATCTAAGTAATTTCATTAATAAATATTGCAGAATCATATTGGAGGCTATCAAGGAATTTTATTTAAGCAGCTACTCACCAATACTTCATGTGCTTTTTCAAGAATATATACTTTCAGCCAACTCTTGATCATCCTTCAGTATCATAATGCAAAAAACACTTTTAACACTTAGCAGTCTGTAAGGACATTAATTTTCCATTTATTTGAAAAGCCTACCTTACCTAGGAAGGCTTTTCCAGCACTTCTGTGATGTAGATTTCACTGGAGATAGTCACTCTAAATTTGAGAAGATGTGGCAGTCAAGTGACATTTCCACTGACTGAAAAAGGGGAAACATAACCCCCATGCCTAAAAAAGGAAAAACTTGGGGGTGCTGGTTGATGAGAAGCTACCCTTGACCCAGCAGTGAACGCTTGCTGCCCAGAAACCACCCTTGTCTTGGGCCGCATCACCAGAGAGTGAAAAGCAGGTTAAGGGAGGGGAGTCTCACCCCCTAATCTACTCTTGTGAGACTGCATCTGGAGTACTATGTTCACCTCTGGGGCCCCCAACACAGGAGGGATGTGGAGCTGTTGTAGTACAGAGTAGGCCATGTCAGTGCTCCAAGGGTTGGGGAAGCTGTGCTCTGGAGACAGGCTGAGAGAGCTGGGCTTGTCTAGCCTGGAGAAAAGAAGGCTCCAGGGAGACCTTAGAGCAGCTTCCAGTGCCTAAACGGGACCTACAAGAAAGGTGAAGAAGGACTTTTGACAAGGGCCTGTAGGGACAGGACAAACGGGAAAGGCTTTAACCTGACAGAGGGGAGATTTAGGTTAGACATTAGCAAGAAGTTCTTCCCTGTGAGGGTGCTGAGGTGCTGGCACAGGGTGCCCAGAGAAGCTGTGGCTGCCCTATCCGTGGCAGCGTTCAAGGCCAGGTTGGACAGAGGGGCTTGGAGCAACCTGCTCTAGTGGAAGGTGTCCCTGCCTGTGGCAGAGGTTGGAACCAGATGAGCTGTAAGGTCCCTTTCAACCCAAATAAATCTGTGATGATATGAGTACAATAAATTTCATCTGCATGCCAAGTGTTAAATTATATTGGGTTACTGTCGGTATCACTCTGTCTTTTACTGTAGCTCTTCAGATTAAGATTCAAATCCTTTCAGTTTAGTAGGATTTTGACAGTAATTTAAGCAGTGCAAGTCTGAGCTCTGTCCACCTAATTGTGACATTTATGAATTTCTAAGCTCTGTATGTGCCTATAGAAACTTTATTTACCTGCTGTGTGAATCTTGTCACCGGATCCTTGACAGCCATCTTCATCATCACAATCCCCACTTGACTCCAACTCTTCACTTCTTCCACCGCCACTGCCAGCATCTCGGGAAGCCCATCTTTCCAGTTTTAATTTTGCCTTCTCAGCATCCAGCTAAAATGGAAAAAGTGAAAAACCAACAATGGTCAGAATATTTACACACTTTCTACCTCTGGTGACCAAGCTGGGTTGCTAATGCAACAAGCAGTTTCTCATTCACTTTCAAGAACAGCTCCTCAAGTTGAAGGTTGTTTCTGGCAATGACAGAAATATTTAGGGATAACAGACTATACCATCAAATTTTCTCCACCACAGATGATGATGGACACTTAGCATCAAACTTTTAATAGAAAGCACCACATCCAGCAACGTCATCACAGTGAGCTCTGGTACTGCAGCTTTTCCTCTTGCAAACCACAGTCTGGAGATCACTGGTTAACGATGGCACAGTCTGCCAGCTGTCAGTGTACTTATTTCAGGTTATTCATAGTTTAAGACCACAATATACTTGACAACCTTTGAAGAGTTGAGGGTATTTGCTACTTTTCATCGTGGTCACTTGGAAACCTCCGCCCCTGCCCAGGACAGTGTTATTTGAGATGCCTGTACCAACTACTACTTGTTCATGAAATTTCACTTGAAGTATATTTCTTGGACTGACTATAAAATAAGAAAGCCTTTTCTAAAATGAATCTAAATATATCATAATAGATAACAATAAAACAATCTATTTATCCCCAAACTTGTCTTTTTGATCTTTAGATAACTCTCCTGTCACCATGAACAGTTGGCTACTACTAGTGCTAAGGAACAAATGATTTTTCAGTTAAAAAAAAATCATTTTCAGTGAATCCAAACCCAGCCTATCCGGGGAAGAACAAGAGCAGCACTATCTGGAAATGAAGTAACTGGCTTAGACTCCTGTTATTTAGGCATTCTTCAACGAAGGAGGGTGCAGGAGAAGCCTGAACCTGTACCCCAAACCTGAGAGGAGGACCTACTCACTAAGCCTCCGAGCAGCTCTCCTGTTGGAACTGTGCTATTTTTGTACAACATGTTGGAACCAAGGTAATCCATGTTCCTCGGTGGCTGCCATCCCCTCAACAGCTTGTATTTGTGGTTGCTTGCGCAAAGGACATTTCAGGATACTAGAGAAGGCGGGAGAGCTTCTGCAGAGAGAAGCCCCAACAGCTCAGCTTCCCCTACAGCCAGAAAATACCCTGACTCAGAGAGGATTTTCCCACAGCCTAAGTTGTCCTGGTTTCTACTATTAAGTTACTATTCCCCATCACCTCCCATCCCCATTTTGTGAGTGATGACCATACTTTGTGAATCTTGTTGGAAAATTACAACAGGGGTGCTGGTTTTGGTTTCAAGGGATTGAAACGGCTGTTCCAGTATTTCTGATGACTTCTTTCAGCTCAACCTACAATGCACATGAACAGTTCTGAAAGACACTGGCTTGTTTGTCTCTTGTTCAGCATTATGAAAGCCCTGTTCGTATTAGCTCTGTTGAGATGGTATGATGAGGTAGGATGAGGACCTGTTACTCTAGTTATATGGAAATATATTAACCAAATGGGAAGACTCTGTAATGCTTCTTGAAGCCACTCAGGTTATGAATCTATCCAATACCCTTCATCACAAGTATCTCTCCCTAATGTATTGCAGATCCATTTCAGGCTTTGTGATCTGCTTTATCCCAAAGGACTGTGATTATTCTTGGCACTGAACAAAATGTATTTTGAAATGTAGCTACTTTGAAGACTCAAACACATTTCACACTAAAAAGGAGGTGGGCTGGAGCTGTGGGAGGAACTGGAGCACAGGGCTAATACAACTGTATTAGCTGGGTTGAAAGGATGATGACAGATGCAGCAATTTCTCTGTAGTGGAAGGCTTTGTGTGATAGTCTCCTTCTTCTTCAGACACTGTGGACTGCCATCCTCCACTCTGGGGCTGACAAATGCTTGGATCAGTGCAGCAGACATCCTGTTCTATGGAGCAGCAGATGCCAACTTCTATATGGCAGCACTCAGGAAATTTTTCACCCTTTCACTGAAAAGATCTGTTTGCTCATTCTGAAGACACAAATAACTTCACACTGCAATGGGAAGATCAGTAAGTGGGAGGAGAGGGTATGGACTCTAGTGGGGAAGCATATTAAACACTCTCTAATTGTTACTGCATGACGGTTTTTAATAAACATGTTGCTTAATGTTGAGCCTCAGTGTTCACAGGCGTAAAGACTGATGTCATCGTGATACAGAACAGCATCTTGTTGAACAATTGGAAAAGATTTGCCTATGAGGGAGAAAGATAACCCAGCTCTTTCACAGTTCTATTGTGTCCTGGCCGTATCAGAGAAGACTCATTTATTCTCAGTTATAATCCTTCAAAATGAAAAGAAATGGCTAAGTGGTGGACAGAACAGACACAAAATGTAATAAGGGCTTTTAATGACTGTTGCCAGTCAAAGTGAATATCTTTACTGCATGTTAAGGTGCTCCTTCTTTTCAAAGACTGGATTTCCTTCAGTGCCCATGGCTCAATCCTGATCTCTGCTCAAAATAAGTAAATCTTCAAACCAAATGTGCACCACCTTCTTGGAGAAGGCCCAAGAAAAGAGCTCAGCTTTTCAACAGTGTACAGCAGCATTTTACAGGTTTCTTAGTACCTTCACTACAAAGAGAGACTAGCTATAGCCCATATCTACATGTCCTACCCGCTTTAATGAAGGCATACCTGGCTCTTGGCTTGCCAGTAGAGAGGGCCATCGAGTTGCACAGAATATCAAGTTGCTTACATACAAGTTCAGCTTTACCACCTCAAGTCAACTCAGGTATGACCTACCAACCCTTTTCACCTTGTACAGCCTTTCCCAAACCCTTCCAATGACTTTTACCTCTGTGGCTACCATTCACCTAAAATGATGGACCAGAGCCCAACTTCATGCAAAATTAATCGTTTGTCTATAAACCAACCCATTCCTGGAGATGAAATCATGTAGCCACTTCAGTGAGGAACTCCACCCACACCATGCAGCTCTGTTGAGAAGCCATGTCACCATTGCATAGTGACTTGTGATGTAGCACCTTTCTCTTTTCCACATCTTGAAGAAACAACTTGTCCTTTGGTTATTGCCACAAGACCTTAGTGAGATCACTGCTTTAGTGTGATAGCAAAGCTTATGCCAGCCTTTCTCCATCTCTTTTTCTCATAGAATCATAGAATCTTTTCTCAAAGGCCTGAGAATGCACTGAAATAGCACAGACTGCACCAGGATGGACTAGGAGGGTGGAGCTTTCCAAGAAGATCATAATGAAAGACACTGGCAACTCTGCACAATAGTTTCAGCCTGGGAGTACAGTGTCTTAATGCTGAGAGTCGATCCTTTGGTTAAACAATTGCAATGAATTTCAGGCTGAGCACTGGGACTTGTACCTTTCCTTTCACAAAGCAGAAGATATCTGCTGCCTAAGAATCCAAAAAAATACTTGACAGCTTAAAAATTAAGTCTTTGAGTTTTCACCACATCTGAAACTCAGTATTTTTTTTTACTCACCAAAAGGTTATACAAATAGATCAGTAAGATTTGTACAGCTCAACTGAAACTGACTCAAATCCAGAAATTTTCCCAATTGCAACAGGCTTTGGAGCAGGTTCATAACCCTCCTAAGGGTTTTTGAGAAACTAAGATCTTTCTGTAGGAAGCTGAAAGGTAAAAAGCACCTATTATTATTCAGATCTGAGTCAGATACAGACCGTTATCCTCATGCATTTTATTTATTCCAGCAAAGATATCTTCTGTTCTGATGAGGTTGAAAAATTCTGATGTATGGTTTTATGGAGAAGAAAGAAGTCAGATGAGGATGGTTGTTGTCTATATCCCTTATTAATACTTGATGATATAGCACATGCATTCCCAGACACATAAAAGAGTCCTTCAGAATTCAGAGGCTTCAAAGAGTATGTGACACACAGCACCTTAGCTTTGTATGCTGGGTCTAACCCTAACCCTCACTCTGACCACAGGAGTGTTAGAATATATATTTATTCTCCTGGTTTGTCATGAATGCACTTGAATACTTCCACACATTCATTAAATAATAACTGCTCAGCTCTGTGAAAACTGTGGTTTGAAACTGCCAATTTCAATCTGTTTCACTGATTCTGAATGGTCATATATGCATGTATATCCCTAAGCTGGAGGATAATAAACTCAATTTGACTGAAAATAGGTTTTAAAACTGTATTTTACATCAGGGTTTCAGACTGTTCAGGTCAGTGAACACAACAATGAAAATCTAAGAGAATATACTTTTTGAATAAAGTAGCTTAGAAGTTGTGTGCTTGGAATATTCAGAGACAAATCCCATCCAGTAATTGTTTCCTGAGGGATTTCTTAATTAGTTTTCTATATGACGGATTTCCCTGTGAAGGCTTTTCCTCTCTGAAAAGACAGCTTTGAGGTGAAATCTGACTTTTGTCCACTTGTCATGTGAGAGCATGTATCACTTGCTGGTGTTTTCCCACTGATCACGTAACATCTGATTATACACTGCATTTAGAAATGGAAATTAAGCATCACCTTTTCACAAGGTACTTACAAGTAGTTGCCTTTCAAAAAGTGCTTTAGTGACATAAATATGATTTGCGGAGACAAAGCATTTTTCCAGCTTAGGCACAAATAACATACAAAGTCTCATGTTGAAAAAGAATCACAACTGACTCAATCCTTCCATTCTTTTTTTCCCAAAATAAAAATAAAACCTCCTTTTTAAACCATTATTAGGTCAGAAATGACTACAACTGCAAAAGACAATATGCCTTTGTTTTTAGCCTATTATATACATTTTTTGTTAGGGACTGACATACTGCTTTAGGCATAAAGCTGCATTTTACTGGTGCCTTGTGACTGAGCAGATGTTCTATCATTTTACAAAACAACAGCAACATAACAAATTTTAGACATAACTGCCATAGAGATGCTTATTCCAAGTGGGTCCTCTCCTTTGAAATAACAGTTATGGTTAATTTTCCTCCACATATGCTCTTAGCTCCTTTTTAAAAGCATCTGGCAGTTGCTTTTGCTGTTTCTTTTCACATTTATC